TCTCTCTCTCTCTCTCTCTCTCTCTCTCTCTCTCTCTCTCACACACACACACACACACACACACACACACACACACACACACACACACAAACACGGTGACACACGCATATTTCCCAGGAAACAAGGAAGGGATCGGGACAAGACTTCGGAGAAGACCGTTGTAGGGCCGAGTGGTGGGAAAAAAGATGGCACGATTGCCGAACGAATCTCTAGAAACCTTCTATCTAGAGATTGTTTTTTTTTCCCTTGAACTTTTAGATTTCCCCGACTCCACCAGGACTTCGAATTGAAACTCTGGAAGGGCCTTCGCTCCAACACTCACCAGATGTGCAAAAGAACGAGTCTTCCTCTAGAACATGGGAAAGATACACCGCCATATTTTTTGTCTTTTGTGCATGTGGAGAGTAGTGGAGCGAGGCGTAAAGTCTTGTTTTTTTTTTTGTTTTTTTTTTTGTTTTTTTTTTTGTTTTTTTTTTGTTTTTTTTTTTTAAATGAGGCCCGATGGACCAGGGATCCGATACAGATAGTAAACTGATTTAGAACAGATACTACACTTGATCTTACTTAGCCAAAATTATAGTCACATGTGTGATACCGCTCCGCCGTGGGTTGTATATCTAGCTGAAGTTCACCACTCGCCCATCTCCAACCATTCACACTTCTGGTCAGTCGGGCAGCCGGGCGTCCATACTCACACGCGCGGCAATTTTGAGCGGCATGGAAAATGCCGACGGGAGAGTAAGAGAAACACGTGTATTCACGAGACACACCGCCTCCCTTTAGCAGGTAGGAGGATGAAGCACAAGAAAAAAGAGCAAACAAGAAAAAATCAAAAGACAGGAAAAAGAAAAAGAAAAAATCAAGAAAAGGAAAAAAAAAAACAGTTTAAAATGAAGGAAAGAGGAATAAAATTTCAACAAAAGGAAGAAAGAAAAGAAAACAAAGTCTGGAGGAAGGCGCGAAAGAGGGCAGCACAACCCGGATAGAAAGCTCAACTGCTTCTGGGACCACTACCCAGTTTCAGTTTGCGGGCCAGAAGCCCAGAGGCCAACCTTCATCAGCCTATTCTTTTTTTTCTTTTTTTTTTTCTTCATCAGCCTATTCTAGTTGAACTGAGCTCTCTGCTCTTCAATACTACCACTACTTAGCTATTTGGACGTTCATGACTCCGATCTATGCGGCCCGAGGGAATCTCTGGTGATTCCTGAGGTCTATGACATGACAGTCTCTTACCAACCTCACCCAAATCAGTCCACTCACTGTCTGTCTACTGCGACAGTAGAACTGAGTGCCCTGTAATTACCTTGCAGCTACCAGCCATGGACAAATGACCGCTTTCCTTTCTCCCCCCCC